CTTGGGAACGTGCACTTCCCTCTCTGGGTCTCAGTTTCACTGCTGCCAAAACGCCTTCTCAGTCATCATTCTCCTCTCAGGCAGCCGGGGAGCACTGGGCTTGCAGCAGGCCCTCCTGGAAGCTCATTCATCTTCCCCAGGACTGCCAGGCTGCAGCCAGCACCCTGCTCTGGGCCTAGTAAGGTGGGGTGTGCCGGGCGGGGAACCTGCCCGTGGCAGAAGTACACTGCTTCCCCTCTGTGCTGGTTTGCTCTCACCGCCCACACCGCTTGCACCTGTGAAAGCCTTTCAGCTCTGGTGTCCACTGTGCTCCAACCTTAGCCCTTGGGCTGGTACCAGGAGCCCCCATCCTGCAGGCTAGGGTGTGGGGGAGCCTCAGAAGGGCCCCCAGCCCAGTCCCTCCCTGACTCCTGTGGTGATGGACTCCCCAGACTCTGTGCTGCCCCATTCCACGTTCTTCAGGCCTGAGACACCAGGAGCTACCTCCCACTCAGCCACAGGCCTCCCTTCCTCCAACCCAGGGAGTGGTCTCCTATGCCTCTGGAGGGGGTGGCCTTGGGGAGAAAGGGGAGGGAAGATGGTAAAGAGGCCAAAAGCCAGCATGCGTCCAGCATGCGTCCAGGCTCCGCCACTCCATTAATGGGCAGTGGAGTGTGCCCAAGCCCTGGACTGTGGGGTGGGAGGGCCGGAACAGGGGGTGGGGCAGTGTGTGGCGAGAGGCTAGGCCCAGGCAGCACCGACGCCCCGGTGTGGAGGCCCCCGTGGCAGCCAGCTCCCCAGCAGCATCTTTGGTGGGGTGTCCCGCAGGAGGGGTCTCTGAGGACAGACCCTAGGAAGGCCGGATCTGTAAGGGCGCAGCACGTAGGCTCTGCATGCCGGAGGCCTCTCACTGCCCCTGTCTGAGCCTCAGCTTCCTCTTTTGGAAAAAGTGGGAACAACAGCCTACAGCCACCAGTATGACAGCAAACAAGCTCCCATCAGGACTGGCCTCGCAGCAGGTGGCAGAGTCCAGGGGCATGCCCTGCCCCAGACCTGCGGTGACGCACCTTGTCCCTGCCTCCCAGCGGACTAGCCAGACTGGTGGGTGCAAGACAGAGGGCTTGAGGCTAGGGGACTCACCATGGCGACCCCCACAGCACAGTCTTTGGCCCCAGCAGACCCCTGCCCTGCTGGATTCACCATGCCCGGCAGGCCAATTCCAGGTGCCTGCTCAGTTCCAGAGCTGTGGGGCTCTGGGGGTGTCCTTTCTCTGACTCAGTTTCCTCAGCTGTCAAGTGGGGATTTCCTGGGGTTGTGGTGAGATGGCAGAAATGGAACTACTGGAGCAGGCAGAGGACGGAGTCCTGACCCTTCAAAGAAGGGCCTCATGAGGGCTGCCGCGGATGCTCAGTAGATGTGTGTGAGGGAGCGGCTCCGCCACTGCTCCGTAGGGGATGAATGTGGGTCAGAGCTCAGATCTGCAGGGCAGAAGGCAGGGCCAGCAGCTGGGGTCCCCTTGAGGCCTCCTCCACCCCTGTCCCTAGCGGGGTAAGGGGCTTTGCTGCTTCCTCGAGCAGCAGCTGGAGCCGGTCGGGGCACCTCTGTGCAGCTAGAAAGGTCTGATCCCATCTCCCCCGGTGGGCACTGTCCAGTGTGGAAGCATGCACGTTGTTTAGCATGCCTGAGCCTCAGTTTCCTCAGTGTGAAGTGGGACCAGAACATCCAGCACAGTGTGGGAAGCAGTGGCAGAGGCCCGGGTAGCCAGCAGGGGCTCCGTGTGCAGTGGCTGCAGCATCCAAGCACGGCCCAGCTAGAGCTCATGGGAGCTCACCCTCACCCTCACCTGTGACCCCATCTCAGCTGTCCCCCACTCACCTGTGCCCCCATCTCAGCTGTCCCCCCACTCACCTGTGCCCCCATCTCAGCTGTCCCCCACTCACCTGTGCCCCCACTCACCTGTGCCCCCATCTCAGCTGTCCCCCACTCACCCAGGCCCCATCTCAGCTGTCCCCACCACCCAGCCCCCATCTCAGCTGTCCCCCCACTCACCTGTGCCCCCATCTCAGCTGTCCCCCACTCACTCCGTGCCCCATCTCAGCTGTCCCCCACTCACCTGTACCCCCATCTCAGCTGTCCCCCACTCACCTGTGCCCCATCTCAGCTGTCCTCCACTCACCTGTGCCCCCATCTCAGCTGTCCCCCACTCACCTGTGCCCCCATCTCAGCTGTCCCCCACTCACCTGTGCCCCCACTCACCTGTGCCATCTCAGCTGTCCCCACGCACCTGTGCCCCCATCTCAGCCGTCCCCCCCACTCACCCGTGCCCCCACTCACCTGTGCTCTGCATCTCAGCTGTCCCCACTACTCCAGCCCCCATCTCAGCTGTCCCCCCACTCACCTGTGCCCCCATCTCAGCTGTCCCCCCACTCACCTGTGCCCCCATCTCAGCTGTCCCCCACTCACCTGTGCCCCATCTCAGCTGTCCCCCACCACTGTGCCCCCACTACCTGTGCCCCCATCTCAGCTGTCTCCCCACTCACCTGTGCGTTCCCCATCTCAGCTGTCCCCCACTCACCTGTGCCCCCATCTCAGCTGTCCCCCACTCACCTGTGCCCCCATCTCAGCTGTCCCCCACTCACCTGTGCCCCATCTCAGCTGTCCCCCCACTCACCTGTGCCCCATCTCAGCTGTCCCCACTCACCTGTACTCCCCCATCTCAGCTGTCCCCCACTCACCTGTGCCCCCATCTCAGCTGTCCTCCACTCACCTGTGCTCCCCATCTCAGCTGTCCCCCACTCACCTGTGCCTCATCCAGCTGTCCCCCCCACTCACCTGTACCCCATCTCAGCTCGTCCCCCACTCACCTGTGCCTCATCTCAGCTGTCCTCCACCACCTGTGCCCCCATCTCAGCTGTCCCCCCACCACCTGTGCTCCCCATCTCAGCTGTCCCCCACTCACCTGTGCCCCCACTCACCTGTGCCATCTCAGCTGTCCCCCACTCACCTGTGCCCCCATCTCAGCTGTCCCCCCACCCACTCCGTGCCCCCACTCACCTGTGCCCCCATCTCAGCTGTCCCCCACCACCCGTGCCCCCATCTCAGCTGTCCCCCCACTCACCTGTGCTCCCCATCTCAGCTGTCCCCCACTCACCTGTGCTCCCCATCTCAGCTAAGGCTGTCCCCCACTCACCTGTGCCCCCATCTCAGCTGTCCCCCACTCACCCAGCCCCCACCACCCAGCGCCCCCATCTCATTGTCTCACTCACCTGTGCCCCCATCTCAGCTGTCCCCCACTCACCTGTGCCCCATCTCAGCTGTCCCCACTACCTGTGCCCCCATCTCAGCTGTCCCCCCACCACCTGTGCCTCATCCTCAGTCCCTCACTCACCTGTACCCCCATCTCAGCTGTCCCCACTCACCCGTGCCCCATCTCAGCTGTCCTCCACCCACCCGTGCCCCCATCTCAGCTGTCCCCCCACTCACCTGTGCCCCCATCTCAGCTGTCCCCCCACTCACCTGTGCCCCCACTCACCTGTGCCATCTCAGCCTGTCCCCACCACCCGTGCCCCCATCCTTCAGCTGTCCCCCCCACTCACCTGTGCCCCCACTCACCTGTGCCCCCATCTCAGCTGTCCCCCACTCACCTGTGCCCCCATCTCAGCTGTCCCCCACTCACCTGTGCCCCCATCTCAGCTGTCCCCCACTCACCTGTGCCCCCATCTCAGCTGTCCCCCCCACTCACCTGTGCCCCCATCTCAGCTGTCCCCCACTCACCAGCCCCACCACCCGTGCCCCCATCTCAGCTGTCCCCACTCACTTTGCATGCCTTACCCAGCTGTCCCTCACTCACCCAGCCCCCATCTCAGCTGTCCCCCACCACCCAGCCCCATCTCAGCTGTCCCCACCACCTGTGCTCCCCCATCTCAGCTGTCCCCCACTCACCTGTGCCCCATCTCAGCTGTCCCCCACTCACCTGTACCCCCATCTCAGCTGTCCCCCACCACCCGTGCCCCATCTCAGCTGTCCTCCACTCACCTGTGCCCCCATCTCAGCTGTCCCCCACTCACCTGTGCCCCCCATCTCAGCTGTCCCCCACTCACCTGTGCCCCCCACCGCCTGTGACCCCATCTCAGCTGTCTCCTCACTGGGCCTGTGCTCCCATCTCAGCTGTCCCCCACTCACCTGTGCCCCATCCTCAGCTGTCCTCCACTCACCTGTGCCCCCACCGCCTGTGCCCCATCTCAGCTGTCTCACTAGCCAGCCCCATCTCAGCTGTCCCCCACTCACCTGTGCCCCATCCAGCTCTCCCCCCACTCGCCTGTGCCCCCATCTCAGCTGTCCCCCACTCGCCTGTGCCCCATCTCAGCTGTCCCCCACTCACCTGTGCCCCATCTCAGCTCTCCCCCACTCGCCTGTGCCCCCATCTCAGCTCTCCCCCACTCGCCTGTGCCCCCATCTCAGCTGTCCCCCACTCGCCTGTGCCCCCATCTCAGCTGTCCCCCACTCGCCTGTGCCCCCATCTCAGCTGTCCCCCCTACCTGTGTTCCCAGCTCACCTGCCCCCCACCTGGGATCAGTCTCCCATTTCTGGCTCCTCCCCCTGCCCTCTCAGCCCCCCGGTAGGTGCCCTGCATGTCTTCCTAGGTGTCTCCACATGGTGCTATATGGATATTAGAGGAGTGGGGGTCCTGACCAGTGAGCATCCCCCATCACTGGTCCCTAAATTCCCCCACTCTCTCCCAGAGGCCCTTGGGGCTCTGGTGCAAAGAGCACCCGCACCCCAGTGGCCTCTGCAAGGTCCCCACTGGCACCATCTCGAGTGCCCTGCACCCCACCCTCCCCATCTCTGAGCCTGGCCATCTTCACCTGCCATCTGCCCACCCCTGGCAGGACAACAGATGCAGAACTGCTCTCCAGGCGGTGTGCGGTTCCATCACCCTTGTCCCTCAACCTTTTATCAGTCAGCCCACCTTGTGGGGGGGACCCCGCTGAGGGGCTCAGGAGAGAGCACTGAGGCTGCGCCACTGCCGGTGGCCAGTGTTTATTTATGCAGATAAGCACTGTGTGCCACTAGCGCCAGGAACAGCCACAAATCTCATGCGTCTGCCACTCAGTGGCTGGGGTAAGTCCCAGCAGAGCTTCCGAGTGCAGTTATTTAGGAACCATGAGTCCAGCTAGGACGCGGCAGGTCCACTTCCTGGGGGCTGGAGGCAGGACCTCAGGAGAGGACAGAGAAGGGAGGTGGGAAGCGAGTCATGATTCAGCTCACACGGTGTAGACAGGCTGGGCAGAGGCGGGGGTGGACCACACTGCAGACCGGCCGGATGTGGCTGTCCCTGGCAGTGCCCATGCTGCCTCCTTCTGCCTTCTGGGCCAGCATCACCACATGATCCATATGGATGATGGTTACTGTGGCAGTCGGCCCCTGCTCTGGGCCACACTGCTGGGGCTGGAGGCCAGGCTCTCAGCCAAGACTTGCTGGGTGACCCTTGGCCAGTGGCTGCCCCTCTCTGGGCCTCAGTTTCCTTCCCTCCAAAGCCAAGTGTCCTGAGCTCTGGGCCGTTGGCCCACCCTCAGCAGTCCAGGGCGGTCTTCATCTGGCCTCTGACACCACCTCCCAGGAGAGCACAGGCCCAATGTGGTGGAGTGCAGGGCAGCAGGAGACTCAGCTCACGGAGCAGCTGTGCCCACAGGGACCTGAGGCTGCAGGGTCCCCGGGCTGTCCTGGGCCGTGTCCCCATGGGCAGCAGTGCTCAGGGTCTCCAGCCATCGCTGCTGCAGCTCTGCGGAGGGGGCGCTCAGGTACCAGGATTGCTTGGCCCACTGCAGCTTCCACACATGCCCGGAGTCCAGCCTCTCCTCAGGGTCCGGCACACTCAGTTTGCAGCCAGGGAGAGGGATGGTGCGGGGCAGCCGGCCGTCCTGCAGCAGAGGAGCAGATGGTCAGCAGTGCCTCAGCTTCCCGGCCTCGGGCTCACCTCAGTGACAGGGGCCTCTCCCAGGAAGCCACTCCCAGACCCTTGCAACACAAGGCAGGTGCTGAGCCCGAGGGGCCTGGTGGCTGTGCCTGCACTGTCTTTTGTCAACAGGAGGCCAGTTGGTGGGGGGACCTACTGGTTCTCCCCGAGGGAGGATATAGGGGAGGGGACGCCTTGCCCCCCTCACCTGACCCCCCAGACTCCATGGCCTCCTTTGGGCTGTCTGGCCCCTGGGGAGGCGAGGCAGGACAGGCCAGTCCCTATGACAGAGCAGCAACTGGGGCTCCAAGGGGCCAGGCCAGGGCTGTGTGGGTTCCTGAGTCTCACCTGACAGGTTCTGTGGCTCCTGGCCACCCTTTGTGCCCCCTTGGCCCACCCCTCCTTGCACCCTGGCTGGCTCTGGGGTCCACCCAGGTGCCAGTAGGTTCTGTCTCCTGTGACTGGGGAGCAGAGGGAATCCTGCGCTGCTGGGGAAACTGAGGCCCCAGGTGACACTGCTCAAGCAGGTGGGCCCCAGCTGGTGGCACAGGCCTGCTGGCCCAAGGGCCTGGGGGTGTGGGGACACGTACCTGGCTGCCTCCCTGCAGGTGCAGCACCTGGGGATCCGACATGGGGATGGCGGCCCACACCTCGCTCCAGGTCTCACCGCTGTCTGACAGCCGCAGGGGGCCACAGAGCAGGCTGGGCTGGGCGTCTGCAGCGGGTGTCTTCTGGGGATACAAAAACACAGGTTAGGGGCAGTCTCGCCTGCAGTGGTCACACCCTGTTCTGAGGAGGCTGGGGCAGGGCCAGGGCCACTGCTTGGGAGGAGCTGGCTGTGGAGACCTGGCCAAGCCCTGCACAGAGACCGGGACCAGGCTCACCCGGCTTCCAAGGGTCACCAGAAGCCTGCAGGACGTAGGCGTGTGTGGTGTCAGGCGGGGTTTGCAGGCTGCGCTCTCTAAGGGGAGGGTGTCCCTATGCTGGGTCAGGACACATCAAAATCACAGGAAAACCCAACAGCAAGTACCTGAGGGTGGGTCACGGGACAGGGACTTCACGCGTGTCAGTTCTATACACACCGTATACATGCGTGTGCATGCGCACACAGCACACACACCACACGTGCCACACACAGGCCCTCCCTCTGTCGTGTCACTGTTGAAGCTACTGTCCACCATTTGGACATGGCTTAGACACCAGAGCTGGACTCCTCAGACCTGGGCCCCCTTCGAGGCCAGAGTCCACCTTACAGGACCCTGGAGGCCCGTGCCCCAAGGACCTGGCGCTCTCAGAACACACCTTGGTATTTAAATTGCAGGCATGAGGGAGCTCAGTGGGCAGAGCAAGGTCCTTTTTCACCATCAAGACCATTCAACGCTCAGTCCTAATAGACTTACATCCTTGACTTCTGAGACCGAGGACCTAGGTCAGGGCTCCAGTAAGTCAGAGCAGCTGGGACCCTGAAAACACACTGACCCCCATCATCTGACTGAGCCTCTACGAGGGAAATCAACACTAGAAGCTTCCCAGGAGACCCCAGCGTGCAGCCGGCACTGCGAACTGCAGGCTGTGTCGAGTGCAGAGAAAGGGCGATGCGCTTTTCTGGAAGCTCACGTTTTCTTTTTCAGCTTTCCTGCAACCCCCCAGAATAGACTGTGTTCTTGAGGAAAGAAGGCAGGGAAAGCAGCAGCCACTCTCAGAAAGAGGAATGGAGGAGGAACAGAGGAAGAGAAGGAGAGGAGTGTGGGGGAGAAGAAGATGGGGAGGAGGAGAGGGAGCAGGAGGAGGAGGGAGAGGAGAAGGAGAAAGACAGGGATGCAGAGGGAGAGGAAGGAGGGGGAAGAGGAGGAGGAGAAGGGGAGTGGGAGGAGGAGGAGGAGGTGCCTGCCTCCAGGGCCCTGCTCACCCTCTGACAGCTGGAGGTGAGGCAGGCCGAGACAAGGGCAGTGTCTCCCCTCAGGTGGGCCTCAAGGCCTGGATTTGAGGGCAGCTTCAATCCATGCCCTCCAACCAGGTGACCAGGAGTGACACTTGTTCTCATCTAACTCCTAGATGCAAATGGTTCCCAAGCCTTGGCCGTGGCTGGTCCCGAGCAGCCAGTGTGCACACACGGGATCTTCCGAGTGTGTTCCCAGCCTGGGGGCCCCACTGAGACACACTCACATCTGTCCTGGCCCCAAGGACGCCCGAAAGCAGAGGCAGCTGGAGCTGCTGGGGCACGGAAGCAGGTGTCTGGAGGCTCTGCCACACTGCCAGGAGGGCAGCAGGAGCTGGGAGCACCCACCTCTGTGCTCTGCTTGGGCTCGGCCGGAGCCTCGGGGCTGGGGCTCTCGGGAGCCACTGGCTGTGTCAGGAAACACTGTCTGCAGACGCGGCTCTGCCGGCTGTTCTCGGCCTTGAACTCGGAGCACTTCCCACAGATGACCTGCCAAACAGAGGGCACCTGTGACCCCAGTGCTCTGGGGCAGAGGATTATCCAGGAAGAGGCCAGAGGAGAGGTGGAGTGGGCGGGAGGAGACTTAACACAGTGTGGGGAGGCGTAAGGGCTTCTCCTTGACGTGCAGGGGGGAGTCCTGTCTGAGGGCAGAGAGCAAGGCTGACCCTGCTGGGCATCTGGTATCCACCCTCCTGTCCTGGAGGGTCCAGAGTCCAGGAGTCTGTGTGCATGGGAAGAAGAGTGGGAAGAGCCGCCAAGCACACGGGAAGACACCCCATCACTGGCCATCAGGGAAATGCAAATCAAATTCACAAGCAGAAACCACCTCTCACCCTTCAGCACGGCTATTTTCCAGACCAACAATGACAACAGCAACGAAAGGAAAATAGTGTTGGCACGATGTGGAGAGATCGGAATCCTTGCACTATTGGTGGGAAGCAAACTGGCGCAGCCTCTGTGGGAAGCAGTAGGGTGCTCCTCAAAATGTTAAACACAGAGTTACCATACGATGCAACAGTTCCACTCGGGGCATGTACCCAAAAGAACTGAAAGGAGGATCTGAAGGGATGTTTGTACATTCACGTCCATAGCGGTGTTATTCACAGTAGCCAAAAGCTGGAAGCAGCCCGTGTCCATTGGCAGATGAATGGATGAAGTCGTCATGGTCTGTTTGTACAGTGACATGTGACTCAGATGCATGGGTGGAGCGTGGGAATGTAGCCAAGGAGTGCTCCTCAGTGACTTTTCCAGAGCTTTTCCTACCCTGGACACTTCTGGCAGGCCCCCTTGTGCCCCCTCCTCTGGCCCCTCCAGCTGCGTCCCGTCAGTGGTCCTGTCTCTCTCTGCCTCGGTCTCCCTCCCTCTGCTGGATCCTTTTCCCAGCACACAGAGGCTCCTGCTGCCTCAGGGCCACCCACACCCACTTCTGCATCTGCTTCTCCTGTTCCATCCTGCCCCGTGTACCGAATATTGCAGAGGACTGGGAGATCCTTGTTCAAACCTTGGGAAATTCTAGTTTGAACCTAAACCTGTGGGCACCGGCTGCTAAGGGACCATGGCACTCAAACACTGAGCTCATATCAAAGGTCTCAGGAGCCACAGCAGGGGGGAGATTGCGCTTTTTAAGTAGATGGAAGGCACCCTGTTCTGGAGTCCTATTTTTACGAGGATTTTATTTATTTTTGGAATTTATCTTTTCTCTATCACTTGTGTGAGGAAGCAGGAATACTGGACAAACCAAGGCAATGAAAGCTAAGCCCCAGCAGGCTGACATGGAGATGCAGTGACGTCAGTGAGGGCCCTGAGCCACCTCTGCTGTGCGGGGAAGTCCAGGTTGGCCATGAGGACGCCCACTCCAAAGAAGATTAACAGAGGCTGCAGCTTCTGATCCTGAGTGGTCACAAAGCCTGAGGCCTGGAGCTGAGCAGGGGCCTGGGCACATAGTCTGAGGATGGCTCTTAAAGCAACAGATTCCCCTCAGGTCTGATGGGGAAACCAGGTTTAAGTTAAATCCCCCAATTCTGGAGTATAAACTGGGCCCCAAACTGAGAGTTCTTTAAGAGGTACAGATCACATTTCACACTTACCTCCCCATCCATCCTCTACCATCCATTCATCCATCCATCATCCATCCATCCATCATCCCTTCATCCACCCATCCATCCATCCATCCATCCACCCATTCATTATCCACTCATCCATTCATCCATCCATCCAACGATTCATCTATCCATCCTCCACCATCTATCCTTCATCCATCCATCCATACTTCTGTATGCCATCCAACTATTTGTCTATTCATCCATCCATCCATCAGTTCTCTAGTCATCCATTTATACTTCCTATATATCCACTTCCATTCATACTTCCATATGCCATTTATCTAACTACCCACCTATCCATCCATCCATCCATCCCCTCATCCATCCATCCCTCCATCCATCCATCCATCCATCCATCCATCCATCCATCCATCCACCCACCCACCTATCCATTCACCCACCTCTACATCCACTCTTCCATTCATCCATCCTTCTACCCACCTATCCATCCATCATCCATCCTTCCAAGGACTCATCCACTTACTCCCCTCCCCCTGCTGCCTCCTGCTGCGTGGCAAAGGTATGACAAGTAACACCAACTGCTTCAGGCACAAGTTGCTGGTGCCCTTTGGAAAAACACCAAAGCATTCTGTGTTGAGATCCAGTTGCTAACGTAGATTCAACTTTAACCTCTTAACCTAAAGATACTTAAATCATCAGTTCCTTCCTCAGGGATACTTTTATATTCAATATTAAGCATTGAATTTTCTCCACTCTCAGGAGAATGGGCTTTGGAGTGAGGGGAATGGAGATGGTGTGCAGCTGGGGTGCCAGGTGGAGGCACTGCCTCATCACATGGGCCCACCAGGCCTTCAGCACCACTGGAGCGCTGGGGCAAAGATCAGCAGTAGGAGCTCCCAGCACAGCCACACCCTTCGCCCATCTCCACTACACCTTGCAAGGAATGAGGACTATCATCTCCTTGTTCTCAAGGTCACCCAGCTAGCGGTTCTGTGGTTCCCAATCCAGCACTTCTCCAGCCACAAGGAGTGTTTGTTGAACACCAGAGCTGACCAGAGAAAAGTGATCAGATTCTACTTTGGACAGGACAGTTTTGCACTCAAGGGCATCTATATCCATGAGCCAGGATCAGGAAGCTCTTCTGTGCAGGGCTGGTGTGCTGCTGGTGAGGACTCAGCTGCTGCGTCCGAGCAGGGTGGCCTCCTGTCCCTGTCCCCCTCTCCTGGGACTCACCGCCCCGCATAGCTTGCAGTGATGCCTCCTCTTCGTGATGGAGTTGAAGGTCTCACCACAGCTCTTACAGCTCTGCTTCTCCTTGTCACGTCTGGTCTTAGAGGATAGTTTTCTGGGCTCGAGCTACAAGGAGGCAAATAGATGCCATCAGCTTCCGAGTCATGTGTGCACCCTACCCCACACGGCAGTGGAGTGGCAGCTCTCGTGACTGTAAAAGCCACACAGGCTCAAGGCAAAAAGTGGAACATGCAGAAGGGAATGAAGTGAAGAGCCAAGTCGGCCACATCTCTCTTACCTCCCTCACCCCGCAAGCGGCTGCCTGTGCCTATTGCACCGAGTAAAGATTTTAAGTGGATCAAGATCTTCATATTTGGAACAACCTGGCCAATGACTTTATCTGGTGCATCTGAGAAACTATTGAAAGGAGCCACAGCTGGAGGAACACAGCGCTTACTAGGGTGGGCAGTGGGTAGCACAGCCACGGCCTGCAGCCCTGGGGACGGGGGTACCCCTGCCTGCAACCCGAGCCATGTGGCCACATGCCTGCTCTATGCTGGGCACTGGGGGGCCACACCCTCCAGACACGCCACATGGATGAATATAGGTGTGCACCCACATGCCTGAGTGTGCAGACAAGCATGGCAACATTTTAGGGGGAGGCCGGACGCAGTGGCTCACACCTGTAATCCCAGCACTTTGGGAGGCTGAGGCGGGCAGATCACTTGAGGTCAGGAGTTTGAGACCAGCCTGGCCAACATGGTGAAACCCCGTCTCTACTAAAAAAAAAATACAAAAATATAGCCGAGTATGGTAGTGGCAGTGGTAGTGGGTGCCTGTAATCCCAGCTACTCGGGAGGCTGAGGCAGGAGAATCGCTTCAACCCAGGAGGCAGAGGTTGCAGTGATGCAGTGAGCCAAGATCGCACCATTGCACTCTAGCCTGGGCAACAGAGCGAGACTTTAAAAAAAAAAAAATCTGGGAGGACGTGAGGAAGCCATGAAGAGCTGTGCCTCCCTCTGTCTCCTGTTGCCTGAACTGCCTATAGAGGAGGGTGGTGTGGAGGCTGCAGCAGGTGTAGCCTGGGGCTGCCCAGCCCAGCCTTGGTTTCCCTGTCTGATTATGAACCGTGCAAGGTGGAGAGACCCCAGGCTCCTGCCTCCTGTCAGCCATGAGACCCTGGATGACTCACCTCTCCTTTCTAAGCCTCAGTTTCCTCACCTGTAAAATGGGATGAGTGACTGGTCCCTGGGCCCTAAGCCTCATCACAGTACATAAAACCGCCACTTTGGAAAGTTGCTAATTTTAACCCTTTCTTTTTTTTTTTTTCAACTTGTGAATTTTTTTTTTTTAATATACTTTTTAAGTTCTAGGGTACATGTGCACAACGTGCAGGTGCAGGTTTGTTACATATGTATACATGTGCCATGTTGGTGTGCTGCACCCATTAACTCATCATTTACATTAGGTATATCTCCGAATGCTATCCCTCCCCGCTCCCCCCGCCCCACAATAGGCCCTGGTGAAGCTAATTACCCTTTCATGTTATAGTCTGCAACCCTGGAAAGGCCTCATCATTTGATGAAATAACTTCCTGGGCTTTTGAAGCTTGGTCCACACCCAGCATTTCCTCTCTGGGGAGGAGGCGCCTCCCTTGAGATACTTTGTTATGGGCGCAGAAAACACCCTTAAGAAGACTTTAGGAAAAGGCAAAGCTATGTCTCGAGTTCCCCAGGATGTCAGAGCTGGAGCTGCCCCTAGAAATGTTTATCTCAACCTCTCCAGTCAGGGAAACTGAAGCCTGCAGGTGTTGTTTTTCTTTCTTTCTTTTTTTTTTTTCTGTTTAAAAGAAAACTACCTAAAATAAGCTAGCCATTAGTATAGCTGCGCAGAATAAAAACAGGTCTGGGATAGGCTTTAAAATATTACAGTAAACAGAAGTGTGTGTGTGGGGGGGGGGGGGGTGGCAGGGCTGGGGGCCGAGGGGCCGTAAGAACAGCACCAGGCTGAGGTGTCTGGAGCTGGGGAGGGACACTCACTGCAGTTATCCCCACTTGTGTGGGTCCAAAACTGCCGCAGGAAAACGCTGAACAACATACGCTTAAAAAAAGTTTAACAGAAACTCTTCAGGTTCAAGGAGAAAGGGCCAGGCGCCGTGGCTCTCGCACGTAATTCCAGCACTTTGGGAGGCGGGAGGGTTGCTTGAGGCCAGAAGTTTGAGACCAATCTGGGCAACATAGTGAGACCCTGTGTCTCAACAAAAATTCAAAAAATTATCTGCCGTGGTGGCACGTGCCTGCAGTCCCAGATATGTGGGGGGCTTAGGTGGGAGGATCACTTGAGCCCGGGAGGTTGAGGCTACAGTGAGTTGTGATCACACCACCACACTCCAGCCTGAGGACATGCCAAAATCCCAACTCAAAAAATTAAAGAAAGAAAGAAAGAAAGAAAAAGATGAACTGAACTGGTTGGGGGTAAAGAAGCAAGAAAGGGGTGGCTCAGATTGGGCATAAGCATTGGAGGCTGGGATGGGCTGAACTGTGTCCCCCCAGATTCATATGTTGAAAATTTAATTCCCAGTATCTCTGAAAATGTGACTCTATTTGGAGACAGGGTGTTTAAAGAGACATTAAGTTAAAATGAGGTCTTCGGTTGGGCCCTGATTCAATCTTACTGGTGCCTTTATAAGAAGAGATGAGGACACCGAGACACAGAGAGAAGACTGTGTGTGGACACAGGGAGGAAACTGACATCTCCAAGCCAAGGAGAGGCCTCAGGAGAAACCAGCCCTGCCCACACCTTGATCTCAGACTCCAGCCTCAGGTAGTATTTTGTTCTGGCAGCCAAAACACACTGACACCAGTGCCTCCGGGCAAATTCTGGCCGGGCACTTCCAGCTGTGTGGCCTGGTCTGTGGTCCCCCTTCACTGGCCCACCTGCAGGTCCCCCAAGCGCCCGGCCAGTTTGGCACAGGAGCCCAAGGGCAGGGCTGGCTCCTTTGAGGGTGACAGGGACGCTCACTCGCTGTGCTGCAGCCCCCAGCACCTCTGATGAATGGGCCTTGTGCCAAAGACATGGGTGAGGCGGCCTCGGCTCCTTCTGCAGTTTTTCTCACGTTCAAGACCCCAGTGGGGGCTCCAAGCACACTAGGCGGGGAATTGGCATCACTGACCTGGTGGTAAAAGCCTGTTCTCCAGGTGGGCACCCAGAGAGGCTGGGAAGTGGGAGTGATTGGTGGAAGGGCGGCCCCGATGTGCACCTCAGCCCAGAACTGCCTGCTCGTAAGGACCCCAGAAGGGGGACCTGTGCCACGGCACCCAGGGGCAGCACTGCATGGCAGCTGAGAACAGCACATGGCATGCTCATGGGGCAGGGGGCAGCAGGGACTGGAGGAGCGAAGAACAGCCATGTAGGAGGACAGGTACCTGCGGGGCTGGGTGCACAGCAAGAGCTTGGCCTCTGAAGACCAGCGGGGACCAGGTCCCAGTGAAGGGACAGACAACAATTCTGGAAGCAGCGAGTGTGGCTCAGGGCTGGGGCGGTGCCGGGAGTCCCACTGGCTTCCTTCATCTGGCAAATCTTCTCAGCTGTGGAGCTGAGCTGAGCACTCGGGATGGGTCCTGGCCCTGCACCAGCTCCCATGGAGCTGAGGCCCGCAGCCCACCGAGGCCAACCCTCCAGCTCCCGTCATCAAGGTGTGGCAGAATTTGTAGGCATGACCCAGTGGCTGAGGGGCAAGAGGCCCACCTAAGTAGCCAGGGATAGTCTCTCGGCCATGCACACGCCCCTTTGTGGATGATGTTCCCACGCAGGTTGACCCAAAGAAGGGAGCTCAGGTTTTCGTTGTGGATGTCAGGATATCAGAAAAGCTGGGCCCAAGTCTCTCCAGGAAGATGGAGAACTGTGGCTTCCTCAGTATCTGACCGAATGACTTCACCCCCAAAGCGCCCAAAACACACCAGCGTTAACCCAGAAAGTGGTCTCAACCAAGGGTCAACGGGGCTGCCCCCTCCAGCAATTTTTCTTGAGCAAATTGAGCTGCACATCCAGGAACAGAGGGCACAGCTGAGTTACATAGAATTGGAGCCCAGTAAGTGACCCTGATGAAGACAAGTCAGTTTCATCAGATACTAGAAATGACCCAGCAGGGGACACAGGCTGTGGGGCACAGGTACTGCCTGGGGATGTTCCAACAAGAGGGTGGCTGGGCTGAGGCCTGAGGCTGTGCCCCTCGTGACAGCCTTGCCCTGGAGCCCCGAGGGTAGACACAGGGCGTGGCCTCGTCCCAGGAGGGGCAGTGCCTGAGACGGGGCAGTGCCTGAGAAGAGGCCCTGGCACTGCCCTGTCAAGGGTGCCCTCTGATGCCTCGCTGGCACCTTGGAGGGGTTCATGTGTCACCCACGGCGGGTCTGAGGCCCTAAGAGACCTTCTGGATTCTGACATTTTGTGTTTCTGTTAAGAGCAACTCGATGCTTGCCCATCAGGGAAGCCTTTGAATTCCGCAAGGCCCCTTGCACAACTTCCTGGCTCGGGTGTAGCTTCTCTTAGGAAAGGGGCTTACAGGGACTATACCACTGAAGAAATCGGGCTCAGGAAGTAAGTTTCAGTTTGGTGTACTGTAGCAAAAATCACTGTTGTGGATAAGAGGATGAACTTGCTTTTGAGTGCTTTGTAAAATGCACACTGAGCTCACCTCCATCACACCACATTCACCCTGTGCAGCTCGATGCCGACACTGAGCTGTCCCAGCTCCCACCACGGTCTCAACTCTGCTGTTTTTGCTCACAGGAAGCCACCAGTGAGGAACACACGGCCAGGTCAGGCCACATCCACTGGGGGTAGGGAGGCTGTGGGCTGGAGCCGAGGCCTGTTGTTGTTCAGTGGTCTGTCGTGGGCCCAGCCCTGGCTTGGTGTGGGTAAGGGACAGAGACAAGAGACCGGAACTGGAACTGTGGCCCTGAGCACCTGGCTCCCTGGGCTGCTGCAGAACCTGAGGCAGCTGGGCCCTGAGCCAGGGGAAGTACAGGGAGTGGGGCCAGCGGCACTGTCCACCCAGCTGGGCGCACCCATGGAGGCACAGCGGGTCTGCTGGCCACAGCCTGGTCCAGCAGACGCCCGGACACTGACTGAGGCCCCGAGCCCCAGTTACCTTCTCGCCTGTGACGGAAGCAGGGGGCCAATAGGGGCATTGCCTGTGTGGCCAGCAGTGCCTCAAAGCCCTGCTCCAAGGCCATCTCCAAGCTGTGTCTTCCCACAAGTTAAAACATTTTAAACCATGGCCTTGCAGGTTCTTCCAGCTAGAACATTCTCCTGTCCAGGCACCAACCCGGGGTTAGACTCCCCAGGACCACACTCAGACACCCTGTGTGGATCCCCTCAGCCAGGCCCGGGCTCCTGCTGTTTCCACAGCCCACCCAGGGCCTGCCCACCCAGGGCCTCCCTCAGCATGTGGCCTCCACCCACTTCTGCTTCCTTGCCTCCCCAAGACACTGAAGGTGCCTTTCCAGGGCCTATGGGCTCACACACAGGACAGACGCACTCACAAAGGACAGGTGGCTGTCGCTGAGTCTTGATGCCTCTGCGGCGGGACTGTGACCACGGATGCCTCCATAAGCCTGGCCCAGGGCCCGGGGCTGGACATGGAGGGTCATCGAGCGGAGGCCAGTCCAGCTCACTCCTTACATGAGCTGTATGTGTGGGAGGCAGTGCTCTGTGCCAGGACGTCACCATGGAAACTGTCAGGGATGCCTGCCCTGGCTGTGGGATGCCAGGCAGTGGGGCTGATCAGGCAGTGCCTCATACACACAGGTGTGGGCTGTCACGTCCCCACTGTGACCCTGCGATTGTGTGTCCACTGTGGGCAGCTCACGCTTCTGTGGCTGCACTCATACCATGAGGACACACTGCTTTTCATAACTTTCCTTACTGCTCCAGAAAAGGGACTGAAGAGCTCTGTGAGTCTGGGGCACAGCCAGCCTCTCACTTACTGCTGGCAATACAAAAAGTTGCTGATGGGCGGATTCCCGTCATAGGCCGGGCGTGGTGGCTCTCACCTGTAATCCCAGCTGATGAGGAGGGCAGATCATGAGGTCAAGAGATTGAGACCATCCTGGCCAACATGGTGAAACCCCATCTCTACTAAAAATATTAAAAATTAGCTGGGTGTGGTGGCACACACCTGTAGTCCCAGCTACTTGGGAGGCTGAGGCAGTAGGATTGCTTGGACCTGGGAAGTGGAGGTTGCAGTGAGCCGAGATTGTGCCACTGCACTCCAGCCTGGGTGACACAGCGACACTTCATCTCAAAAAAAAAAAAAAAAAAGGCTTGGTGCAGTGACTCACACCTGTAATCCTAGCACTCTGGGAGGCTGAGGAGGGCAGATCACGAGGTCAGGAGATCGAGACCAGCCTGGCTAACACGGTGAAACCCCGTCTCTACTAAAATAAATAAATATATATATATATATATATACACACACACACACAAAATTAGCCGGGCGTGGTGGCAGGCGCCTGTAGTCCCAGCTACTACAGGAGGCTGAGGCAGGAGAATGGTGTGAAGCCGGGAGGCAGAGCTTGAAGTGAGCTGAGATCACGCCACTGCACTCTAGCCTGGGCAACAGAGTGAGACTCCGTCTCAAAGAAACACAAGTTGCTGATGGGCAGATTCCTGTCATTGAGACATTTTGATCAGGGGCCCCTGGGGCAGGCTACGGGGCTTCATAGACTTGGACAGAGCAAACAGCAGATGTCAAGGCCCTGGGGCCTGGCAGGGCAAGGGGAGCCCAGGGCATCTGCAGGGAGGGTGGCCAGGAAGCGGGGTGAGGCCAGACAGAAGGAGAGACAAGTGAGAGGAGATTCTCTCCTAGGAGGCCAGGGGACCACTTCCCCACAGGCTGTGAGACTTCCTCATTTTAGTGTTAAGAAGATGTCCCTGCAGGGTGCCTGTCTGCTCTGCAGGGGCCAGGTGGCTGTGCTTTGTGAATCTGGGGTCTCTCCTCTTGTCCATTGGGATGTATGTGGAAGTCCCCCCACGCCTGCACACTCCATTGTGCCCCTGAAACACTACATCCTTCCCAAGACCTCCTGAGTGTCTTCATGGTTTCCCAACGCCAGGCCAGCCCAGATCACGATGGGTGGGGCCTGGTAAAGCTCAGGTCATGGGAGGGGGCGGCCAGCAGCCAGCCCACTTGGACAGACGCCTGTCTGGGGTCGGGCTAGGGCAGCCATCTGGGGCCACGTCATTTCTGAGCCTGCACAGCATAGGGGGAGGCGAAGCACCTGGAGAATCGCCCTCCTGCATCTGGGTGCAGCAGCCACATCGGGGTGCTCCAGGGTGATGTTGCTGTCAGCGTTGGTGAGTGCCAGGCCTGGGCGTCAATGATGATGGCTCCAGGTACAGATGCTCTCGGCCCTCATCCTCTTTAACTTCCCGGATTAAATGGAGGAGGCAGGCCCCATCCCAGTTCCTACAGCACATCCCCTGGCAGGCGGGCACGTGGACACAGCCTGCCTGGCCGGAGCAGCACCCTTGTGGGCTGACTGCCATAAGGCACAAGAGAACACAGACGGGGAGAGGCAGGGAGGCTCAGGCCTCCCTGGCCGCAGCTTGGGGTGAAGGACTAAGCAGTCCTCTGCATTACTGAGCCTCCTGAGGACCTTGCACTGTCAATACACGCTTTATGGGACGATTCACCATGTTAAGAGCATAAATATTCACTTGGAGCTCAGAGGATTCTCACATGTGTGCCCAGCTGTGTGACCACGTCCAACTAGGTAATGGACATCCCCACATTGACAGGCCTCTGCATGCCTGCCTCACAGAGTCCTCTGCAGTGACCACACAAGTCATTAGAGCCTGGACTCAGACATGGCTTCACCTCCACACACCCAGGCCCCCAGGCACAGTGAGCAGGACAGGCTGGCCCCTCAGTCCTCAGCCTCCAGGAGGCCCTGGTCTGACCGTCCCTCTCCAACTTCCCTACAAGTCATCCTGGTCTGACCCCCTGCTCTGCCTCTCACCCCTGCTGACCGCTGAGCATACGGCACTTACCCCTGCTGCACCCGAACCGCCTTCGGTGGTCACCACAGGCTCCAGAGGGCTGGTGCTCGTGATCTGGAAGGGACACAGAGGCCAAGTGAGAGGAGATTCCAGGGCCACGCAGCCCCTGTGCAGCGGGGACAGCTCCTGAAGCCCCCAGCACCTCCGTGCATTGAGGGCAGGCTCAGGAGCAGGAATTTCCAGGCCTAGGATTTGCTGTGCCTTTGGGGAAGCTGCTTCCTCCCTGGGCCTGGCCTGAGCTGAAGGCCTCTCCTAGGAGCATCTGCCAGTGTGGTGGGTGGCTGGTGGGTGATGCCTCCCTTTGGCCCACCCTGATCAGAGGCTCTAATTCACACCAAGTCACCCAGTGAGTGAGGAGGGTCCCTTTGGGTCCTCTCTCATCCTCCAGGGCTCTTTGTGGAGAGTCTCTGCAGCCCCCACTTTCTCAGCAGAGTGAGGCTCTGGGATTAGTCTCTGGACAGAAAGGGCTTGGCCAGCTTTAAGGACAGCCAGGCTCAGTGTCTCACATTCCCAGGTCACCTCCACTCAAGGCAGTCCCAGGACTCTTCCTTTCTGGATGATGCAAAGTTCTTACAAAGTGAATGCAGAAAGCACAAAAAACCTAGTGGACTTGATACAAATATGAAGTGGATATGGGGGAAGTGGACTGCGCCAGGCAGACCCATGGAGGTGGTACAGAGGGCAGAGCCAGCCTGGAGTTGGGATTTGGGCCTGCGGGGTCTGGGTCAGGCAGCGAGAGTTGGGGCACCCTCACTCTGAGTCATGCCCGGTACCCCCATGAAGGCTGGAGCAGAGGGCCTGGCATAGGGCTCAGGGCACCGTCTCTCCTGGGTGCCTCCCCGGATGTGTCCTTGCTACAGTTCCAACCCCTATGCCTTGTCCAGGGCCAGTGGCTCCAGGGCCTTCCTTGCAGCGGGCAGAGAGCAGCCTCTTCACCCAATCCTCTCTCCCTGACTCCAGGGAAGCCCTGTGGGGAGAAATGGCTGAGGCTTGGTCCTGGGGCTGCAGCCCTGACTCCCTGGCCAGGCTTCTCGGCAAGGACCCTGTAGCCCTGCCTCTTTCCCAGCCTAAGTCTCCACATGAAATCCCCCTGGGCCCTTGGGGAAGCTCCACATGAGGATGGGGCATGAGATGCTCCTACTGCTTCCCCCAAGGGGCTCTGAGCCACCATCTCCCAGGGCACGGGGGCACTGGGGGGAAAATACAGTCACAGAAAGGTGTCTGCACTCATGGGCCGTCCTGGGCCAAAGTGGTATGCGGGCAGTGCACCACAGCCCTGTGACGCCGGGTCCACCACCCACGACCTGGGGATGTCACCGAGCTCCTCTGAGACTCAGTTTCCACGGGGATGATGTAACATTCCTTGGTGCATAGGATGCTGCGCAGAAGGCACCAGACAACCAAACAGGTCACGCAGGAGCGCTTCCTCCACGGCCACATCCTGCTTTCCCGCCCACCTGGGCGCTGACCACGGGCCTGGGGCCCAGCAGGCTGCAGCGGGCACTTAGTGGAGGGTGGGTAGGGGTGAAATTCAGTTCAGTCTAAAGCTGCCATGGAAAGGTGGCCGACACTTCAAACCACGTCAAACACGGCAAACGCGGAGCTGTAACCAACCCAGCTGCTTCTGTGCTTCACTTTCCCTTTTCTGTCCATACATCCTCTCCGACCACACAGCAGCAGAGGAGGCTCTCTGGACCTACTCTGGTCTCAAGGGTTGTAGGGGGCAGGTGCTATCCCATCCACGAGTAGTTGTTTGCTCAATTAAATTGTTAAATTTCATTTGTCTGAAGTTTTTCTTTTAACACAAGGGAGCGCCCGCTGTCCTGGTCCCTAGTACAGCAGGAGGAAAGCCTGGAGGTCGGGCTGCCCACCCAGATGCCAGCGCCTTCTGCTCTCCGCAGGCAGCCTGTCCCCTGGAGGCCCCTCTGCGCCCCGGGCCACTGACTCACAGGCACGTCTGGAGAGAGGCTGGGGTCCTCATCCTGGCTGAAGGCGCCACCGAAAGCCTTGAAGGTCTCACTGTTCTGCTTGTGCTTCTCGATGGTGGCCTGGATGATCTGGACACAGCAACACAACAGGGAGGACCATCAAGGGGTGTGGGAGGACGCTACCCGCAGGAAGGATGCGCCTGCCTCTGTCCCGAGGACGGGCCCTGGCGTTCCCGGAACAATGCCCAGGCCACCGGCCATCTCCTTTCCCTGCTACCAATGATGTGGTCTCCCCTTCGAGCTGTCCAGATTGAGGAGATCCACCCTGAGCGGGGAACCTGGCCTGTGACTCCACCAGGCCTGTTCATGTTTATTTGGGGGCTCTCAAACAAATGAATGGGTTGAAAGGCCTGTGACATCTGAAGGTGCTTATGAAGGCACAGTGTGGTCACTGCATCCCTGCAGGGTGCAGCACAGGGCCAGCAGTCCCGGAGGCCAGGGCCCCCACCCTCTGTCCCAACATAAATGGCCTTACTGCTCAATCACTTGGTCGTTTGGTTACTTTACAAGTTTAGAAGCTTCACCTGAATCCATTCTTTCTTCTCTTCCTCTGTCCTATAAAACCAAAACAGTCTTGTATTAATCCAGTCTTGGATACTGACTCTAAATGACCAGCCCTCTCTCAGCCCTGCAGCACACCCGAGCCATGCACTGGCTTGTCAACACAGCTCAAGGATGGGAAGATTGTCCCCAAGGGCCTCAAAACACTTGTGGCCTGGTGGGGCCAGGTGAGCCACGTGGAGCCCTCTGTAGTGGCTGGAATTCAATGCCTCCTTGGACCATAATGGGTCATTACGAAGATCCCACTGTTGGTTGGCTGTGGGAGAACAGAACTCCCATGTATGGCTAGTCAGAGCACAGCCTGACACAACAGCCACCAAAATTTCAAACAGATGCACTACCCTGTGACCAGCAATTCTACGTCAGCAATCCATCTGATGGCTACAACTACACATATGCAGAAACATCTAAAAACAAGGACACTGCTTGCAGCACCATTTGTGATGGCCAGGTTCAGGAGGAGCCCAGGTCCTCGTCAGCGGGAACTAGCTAATGATCATTAATGGGAAATCATGTTTCTTTAGGAATGGTGTGCAGATATGGGGTGATTCTTGACAAATTAAGTGAAAAAGCAAGATGCAGGACAAGTATAAACAGTCATCTGTGATTTAAAACGTAGACACAGGTGCATGTGCATAGAAAATCCTAGAAGGGGCCAGGCGCAGTGGCTAACACTGTAATCCCAGCACTTTGGGAGCCCGAGTCAGGGGGGTGGATCACCTGAGGTCAAGAGTGGGAGACCAGCCTGGCCAACATGGTGAAACCCTGTTGGGGTTTCACTCAAACAAGAAATTAGCCAGGCATAGTGACGGGCGCCTGTAATCCCAGCTACCCAGGAGGCTGAGGCAGGAGAATCACTTGAACCTGGGAGGCAGAGGTTGCTGTGAGCTGAGATTGCGCCACTGCACTCCAGCCTGGGCAACAAGAGCGAAACTCTGTCTCAAAAAAAGAAAAGAAAAGAAAATCCTAGAAGAATACTCAAGAGAGGACTAAGAATGTGCTGGGCCTGCTGACCAGGAGGTGGGCAGAGGCTTAATTTTCACCAACTTCCCTTGGTAGTGAAAGGGCCCCGATCATCCTATAGATAGTTTTTCCAATAAACACACAAATTGACCCTTCCAGTCTTCAAGCTTGAAAGTTAACATTTGTTTTATCTGAGTTCCTTCCTCAGTAACCTTAAGGCCTCTCAAAAAAACCATCAAGGGACTGAACTCACCAGGTCACCACATCCAGACAATGAGATGCCCAGACCCTTTATCCATCATGATTGCTTCCTTGCCCCCACTAGTTCCTGTTTTCTTACACATTGTTACATTTCTTCCCTGCTGTATGTGCCCCTAGTTTTAGTTGGTTAGGAAGATGGATTTGAGACTGAGTTCCCATCTCCTTGGCCGATTAAAGCTTCTTCCTCGGCAATAATCATCTCAGTGATGGGCTTTCTGTGCAGCAAGCAGCAGGACCTAGATAGCACCCTGGTGTTTGGGTAACAGTAATGTTAAATTTTAAGCCATACATAAATAAAAATATATTGCAGGTTATCCAGTTTAGAAAAAGAAGACATGAGGTCAAAGACATTCACAGAAACAGCCCGTTCCGTACCGCGTCTGCAGCTCCAGGGACCTTTTCCTTCCCGTTATGATGAATGTATGTGCTGTGTTTGGCTTGACGCTATCCTGCACCTGAAGAGGCAAGAACAAAGAACAAAGCAAACCCCAGCTAGTCATTTTAGCGGGTCCTTAACTCCAGCCTCACGTTTTCTGACTTAGAAGTGTTTCCCCGAGGAGGTAGCAGAGGTGAGCCTGCGGCCCCACAGTTCTCAGGGAGAGGGGCGCAGAGGTTCAGGTCACCGTGGCTGCTGCATGAGCTGGTCCATCGGGAACAGCAGGCCTCCCACCCTGCTCAGACACAGCTGGGACCGCTCATCTTCTGTGCTTGGAACTCTGCTGACCAAATCCATCCCCTGACACCCAGCCTGTCAGGTTTCCTCCCCATGTCGCCCCCATCCATCCTCCTCGAAGCCAAGCCATTCCCCACAGGTACCACTGGGCACTGCCCCCCTACAGCAGCCACGTCCCCTTAGGATGGAAAGGGACCTGATGAGAAGAGCAAGGATGGCCTAAGCCACCCTGCAGAGTCTCTGCCCCTGAGCAGGTGTGCCCTGAGATGAGATGTAAATAGGACAATGCGTGCCCAGAACTAATGAAAATGGGGTCACTTCTTCACAGAACCACAGCCTCAAATTCCATCCTCTTCCATCAGGATGAGACCACAGAGACCATGGCCGGGCACGGTAGCTCACACCTATTCCGTGTCTCATTGCAGTGGTAGCTGAGAGGGCTTTGAATGAATGGGTGCTCCAAAAACATTCGCTAAATCAAAATATGTAGTCATTTGCTTAATGCCACCAACAATCCCTTCTTACATTGAAATTCTCTGAATTCAGGTTAAGAAATAAAAGACTAACTAGAGAAAATACCTTTTTTTAAGGTTGTTTTATTATTTTTTTTAAGTTATTTTTGAGACAGGGTCTTGCCCTGTCAGCCAAGCTGGAGTGCAGTGAGTGGCACAATCATGCAGCCTTGACCTCCTGGGCTCAAGCAATCCTTCCACCTCAGCCTCCCAAGTAGCTGGAAATAGAGATGTGCACCACCATGCCTGGCTAATTTTTTATCTTTTATAGAGACACGGTTTTACTACATTGCCAAGGCTGGTCCTGAACTGGGTTCAAGTGATCCTCCTGCCTCAGCCTCCCAAAGTGCTTGGATTGTAGGCGTGAGCCACCAAAACTACGTGCCTGGCTTTTTATAGTAGTTAGAAGAAACCACTTTTCTAGTGTTTCTCTATAAAAAATCAGTCATGGCTGGGCATGGTGGCTGACGCCTGTAATCCCAGCACTTTGCGGGGCTGAGGCGGGTGGATCACGAGGTCAGGAGTTTGAGAACAGCCTGACCAACATGGTGAAACCCCGTCTCTGGGCATGGTGGCATGCACCTATAATCACAACTACTCGGGAGGGTGAGGCAGGAGAATCCCTTGAACCCAGGAGGTGGAGGTTGCAGTGAGCCGAGATCACACCATTGTACTCCAGGTTAAGAACTACCATTAAAAATAATGACTAACTAGGCTGGGCGCAGTGGCTCACACCTGTAATCCCAGCACTTTGGGAGGTTGAGGTGAGTGGATCACAAGGTCAGGAGTTCGAGACCAGCCTGGCAAACATGGTGAAATCCCGTCTCTACTAAAAATACAAAAATTAGTTGGGCATGGTAGCGTGCACCTGTAATTGGAGCTGCTCGGGAGGGTGAGGCAGGAGAATCCCTTGAACCCAGGGGGTGGAGGTTGCAGTGAGCCAAGATCACGCCATTGCACTCCAGCCTGGGCAACAGAGCGAGACTCCGTCTCAAAAAAAAAAAAAAAAAAAAAAAAAAGGTCATTCTGGACCACGCTACAGATATGCCTGGAACCCTCCCCCAGCTCTGGTGCAGGAGGACAGGAAAGAGCTCGGAACCCAGGAACCAGGCAAGGGAAGCAGGCCCTCGCCCCAGCCAGGATTTCTCCTTGCAACCCTGGGCTTCATGTTTTTGTTTGTAAATAGGGCCCCGAGTCCCAGTCTTAGAGATGACAGGGTTCAGTCCAGGTCCTGGTGCCATCCCTACTGCCCCCGCATCCTCCAAGGCTCTGCAGAAAGGGGAGTTGGCAGCAATGTGGCAGGTGGGCGAAGCAGAGAGGGATGGAATCCTGCCCTTCCGGCCTGGGGCACCAGGACTGAGACGATGCCTTGGTCACAGACAGGGTCTGTGGCTTGGAAAAGCAGGCAGGGGTGCCAGGCTGCACAGAGGTGAGTGCCTCAGCAGCCAGAGCCCGGTGTCCCCAGCCCTGCTCAATGTCCCTTCCAGGGGGACAGGTTTGAGATGGAGGAGCTCACCCACCTGGAGGCCTGAGATGTCCATCTTCTCCCGGACGCTGAACTTCTGGCCCATGAGCCGCAACTTGGGCACGCAATAAAGGATCATGCTGTTGAACTGCAAGAGGGATGGCACAGGTGAGGAACGGGAGCTGCCCGCAGGCCACCCCCAGGGGCCCCAGTGAGCTTCATGGGATCTTTTCATTTTTTTTAAATGTTAAAAAGTGAAAAATATTTTTAAAAGATATGTGCAGTAATTTTAACTACGGTTACATCTTTGAGTGAGGAGACTCTAGTCACTAGCTTTATTTTTGTTCATTTCTATTTTTAAATTTTTAAACCATGAACATGAGCTAATTGTATAATCAAAAAAACAAAACTTTTTTTTTTTTTTTTTTTTTTTTTTTTGAGACGGAATCTTGCTCTTGTTGCCCAGGCTGAAGTGCAATGGCACAATCTTGGCTCACTGCAACCTCCGCCTCCCAAGTAGCTGGAATTACAGGCAGGTGCTACCACGCCTGGCTAATTTTTATATTTTTAGTAGAGATGGGGTTTCACCATGTTGGCCAGGCTGGTCTCGAACTCCTGACCTCAGGTGATCCGCCCACCTCAGCCTCCCAAAGTGCTGGGATTACAGGCATGAGCCACCACGTCCAGCCAAACCAAAACTTTTGAATGAGCTACTGATACATTCACCAAAACGGATGAATCTCTCAAACCCACATGGGAAGCTAAAGGAGCCAGACTCATCTCATGGCATTGATGTGACATTCAGGAAAGGCAAAATTCTAGCAACAAAGAAGAGATCCATGGTTGCCAGGGCAGGGGAGCACTTGCCCACAAAGGGGTGGGACAAGGGAATTTCGGTGGGAGGGGGGCAGTGATCAAACTGTTCTATAACTTGGCCAGGCACAGTGGCTCACACCTGTAATCCCAGCACTTTGGGTGGGTGGATCACCTGAGGTCAGGAGTTCGAGAGCAGCCTGGCCAACATAGTGAACCCCGTGTCTACTAAAAATACAAAAATTAGCCGGGTGTGGTGGCACATGCCTGTAATCCCAGCTACTCAGGAGGCTGAGGTAGGACAATTGCTTAAACCCGGGAAGTGGAGGTTACAGTGAGCAGAGATTGAGCCACTATGCTCCAGCCTGGGGGACAGAGCGAGACTGTGTCTTAAAAAAAAAAAAAACAAAAACCAAAAAACTGTTCTGTAACTTGATTGTGGTCACAACTGTATTAGTCAAAACTCAGAATTGTAAAGCAAAAATGAGTTTTAGTTAACATAATTTTTAAAAACTTAAAAAAAACTTTCAAAGAAATAATTGTTTATTCAAGGAGAATTAGAAGCTAGAGGAAAATAGAGGAGGAAAGAAGAAACATATCTGTTTCTACTGCGCCACGGCACCCAGGGTGGGTCTCGAATTACACTTCCATCCCGCCTTCCCCCTCCCTCCCGGCCAGGGTTTGGCTTAGGAATAGTTGAAAACATGATTTGCTGCTACAGTTCTCTGTGCTCTCCTGGTTGCTACAAGCTGGAGTCTGCTCAATTCCGGGGAGGAAAGAGGTATTGGCTGTGAGGGATTTAAAAATTAGATACTTGCAGCAAATGGGGAGAAGCCGCTGGCAAAAGTCTGGTGTCTGAATGTGGAGAAGCGAGGCTCCCTGTGGCTAGGGGAGGGATGCTGAGGGTCTTAGAGGGAGCCAGAGTCCCAGTAGGAGAGGCCACAGAAGAGCCATGTCCTTGGGCAGCCAGAGCCCTACTGGCACTGCCCTGGGCTTGAGGCAAATGGCAAGGGAGGCTCTGCGGCTGGGCTGGCAGGAGCCAGGCTCACCAGGAAGAGGTGGCGGTCCTGGGCGGTGCCGTTCTTGGCTGATAGCTTCTGGATTTGGCCCTCCTTGATCAGCTCGTTGGCTGGGTTGACAATGTCCTCTTCCCCACCCAGCTGCTCGTACACCTCCAAGAGCTTGTGCATTTTCTCCTGCAAGAGACATGGGGCTCAGGCACCAAAGGTCTGTGAAAGTGGCTGGTGACCTAGAGATACGCGGAGCCCTTCCCTGCAACTGTGGCCCAGAATCCAGAGAGGACAATGAGCTACTGACAGGGGTGGGAGGGAAATCAGAGTGATGTTTGAGTTGAGTATTGAAGGATGACTAGGAGTTCGCCATGCAGAACATAATAACAACGATAAACAGCAACAGAGCTAACCATTGCTGTGAGCCAGATGCTGTTCTACATATGATACACGTTTTAACTCACCTAGTGAGGTGAGTGCCATTGTTATCTTCATTTTACAGACAAGGAAACTGAGGCACAGAGAGGTCAGTTGAGTGTCTGAGACCCAGACTCGGACAATCCGTATGTCACCTTTCCCTGGCCATGGTGACTGGGGGGGTGGTCATGTGGGTAACCAGCACCCAGAAGTGCGATGGGACAAGGTGAAAGCTCATGGCCCAGCTTTGAGCCGGATGCCAGTGCGGCGGAAGGCAGAGCTGAGCCTGCAGCAACCTCGACAACAGTCACGTGTCCGAGTCTGGACCTGCCGTGCCTCAGAAGCCCTGTCCTTGGACCTGAGTGATCTCAGCCTGTACACCCTGGAGGCAGGTGGGTTTGGCTGACCCTTCTGTCTCCGGTACCAACGCAGGTAGGTGTAAGTGGGCACACGGTGTGGGGGGCACTAGAGGAGCCAGCAGCAGAGATCTTAGAGGAGAAGACCAGGGTAGGGGTGAGGGTCTTTTGAGAACTGGGGGAATGGGCAGGTACCTGGTATATACACAGGGGAGCTGGCTGTGCACCTGCCCACTACTGGGGGCTGGGTGTGTGGCTGGTGTGTACCGGGGGCTGGGTGTGAACGTGGTATGTACTGGGGGGCTGCGTGTGCAGCTGGTGTCTAATAGTGGAGAACTGTATGCACCTGGCATGTACTGGGAGGGTTGGGTGTGCACCTGTCATGTCCTGGGGGGCTGGGTGAGCACAGAGCCAGTCCATGAAGGGACTAATGCAGCTTTAGTGAGTGAATGAATGACAGTAACACCGAGCACTGACACTTCCTGCACCAGGTCCTGTTCTGAGCATTCTATGTAGAGTGCTCCCCCACACCCGGTGGCTTACAGGTGGGCGCCACCAGGCCTAATTTTTGTATTTTTAGTAGAGATGGGTTTCACCATGTTGGCCAGGCTGGTCTCGAACTCCTGACCTCAAGTGATTCGCCCTCCTCGGCCTCCCAGAGTGCTGGGAGTACAGCTGTGAGCCACCCTGCCTGGCCTTGCTGAGGCTTTTGAACACAAAAGTTGCCATGGGCTCAGGCCATCTAGGGCTGAGTTCCATGGTACCACGTGGCCGACACTGTCTGGGGCAGGCCGGAGACTGCTTTGTGGGGCAGGACTTGGGGCTGACCCTGGATATGTTGCAGCTGTCACTGTCTTTAGCGTTTTAGGGGTCATGAAACAGCCATTCTCTGAGAGGTGTGTGAGTTTTGGGAGAAAAGACCCGGATTTGGATAATTAAATGAAACTGCCTAGGGAAAGTACCTGGAACATAATGGATACTTAGAAAACAAAGGAAATTCCTTTTTTTTTTTTTCCTGGTTTTTGTTTATTCTTTTTTTTTTTCTTCCTTTCTTTCTTTTTTTTTTTTGAGATGGAGTCTGGCTCTGTCACCCAGGCTGGAGTGCAGTGGTGCGATCTCGGCTCACTGCAAGCTCCGCCTCCCGGGTTCATGCTATTCTCCTGCCTCAACCACCCGAGCAGCTGGGACTACAGGTGCCCGCCACCATGCCCAATTTTTTGTATTTTTAGGAGAGACGGGGTTTCACCGTGTTAGCCAGGATGGTCTCGATCTCCTGACCTCATGATCCACCCGCCTTGGCCTCCCAAAGTGCTGGGATTATAGGCGTGAGCCACCGCGCCCGGCCAGAGTGATTCTTTTAATCTCCACAGACGCCCAATGAGACAGGCTGTCAGGGCTCCCATTTTATAGATGGGGAAACTAAGGCATAGAGCGTTAAATAACTCACCACGGACACAGATCTATTATAGCAAGGGGCGGGGCTGTCCAGCTGACCCCCCGGGGATGGGGGTAGGAGGTGTAAATGAGTCACTTGTGGAGCCCCCCGAAGGATGGGGGCGAAGGGCTGGCCCACAAGGGCCCCTGGCCCTCACTCTTGCTCACCACCCTGCTGGTCCCCGCCACAGCCCCGCACTCACCACCTTCCGAATGGCGGCATTGGAGTGGTTGGCGGCTGTGGAGATGAGCTCCAAGGACCCTGCAGGAGGAAGACTGGGTTCAGCCTGGGGCCACGGTGGCTCCATTTTTGCTTGCCTGAGGGGCTCCAGGGCAGCTGCCTCCAGAGAGAGGATCTGTCTCTGCTGTCGGCCTTTCCCATGGTGCCTGGGCTACTCTAGAGGACTGGCCCAGAGGAAGGGGGTGACCCTGCCTCTGACCCTGCAGACACATCCCTTCTGCTGGGGCCAATACCAGGCAGGGGGCTCCCACAATCCTGAAAACGCCTGCCCGGGCTGCCTGCCAGCCACACCAGGCAGTGACTGGACCAGGAGCAGCCCCCACCAGCCCCATAAGGCCCATTCCTGGGGCCTAAGCTCTGAATGGCGCCAGCATTTAGCAGCACCTTCCCTAGACCCACGTCCACCAGCGTACTTCAAGCAGGGGAGATTTTCCTCTGCCCTCAAAGACACTAAGTCCCTTCCTGGGTTGTTAGGGGTCTCACTTTTTCTCTCTCTCTCCTTCCTCTGTCTCTGTGTGTCTCTCTCCCCTCCCCTCTGTTTCTCCCTCCCTCTCCCTCTCTTTCCCCGATGTCTCCTTATCTCTCTCTCTGTCTCCATCTCTCTCCCTCCCCTGTCTCTGTCTCTTTCCCTCTGGTCTCTCTGTTTCTCTCTCCCCTACCCCCACGACCCTCTCTCCCCCTCTCTCCCCACTCCCAGAGTTCTTGGCAGGTGCCCCTGTGCCCTCCTGGGAGCCCTTGGCCCCAGCTTACTCTCCGCGTCCTTCCAGTCTGGGGCGTCCTGCGGGAGCCTCTTCAGATAGTCCTTGAGCAGCAGCTCGTACCGGGGGACCCTCTGCACGGGCTCCAGCATGTGGTGCTGCAGCGTCAGGTTTCCACACACCTCCTGCTTCTGTGGGGACAGAGGGAGCATGGGGCACCCCAAGGACACGTGTGTGGACACCGGCCCCACCACGGCTTCTGGCCACCACAGCCCCAGAAGGCTGCCTGGAACTGGCTGCCCAGAACTGACTGCCCTTCAAGACATGGCTGGCACAGACCACACTTTACAACAGGGGAAACTGAGGCTCGGAGAGACTGACCAACGGAGCAAGGACTGGAACCCCAGGCAGCCTGGCCCTTGGCCCAGAGCTGGCTCTCTTATATGCATCCTTGGTGGAGAAAATAAATGCCTGGACAGGACTGTCTCCTCTCAAGAGCGGGTTCTCCCCACTCCCCACCCACCCGTGGGCCTATGCAGCGCTCCCCTGACCCCTCTGCTGAGAAATCAGGCAGAGCTTCGCCCAACTCTCCCCACTGGGAATCGGGCCAGGGCCCGTCCTCATGCCTAGAGGCCGCTGGGGAGTCCTGCAGATCGTGTTCAATGTAAACGCACCAGTGTTCCAGTCGGGTGCTGAGACCCTTGCGCCCCACCCGTGCCCAGCACTGCTCACCGGCTCCCCGTGCCTGCCTCCCACCCTGCAGCACCTCCTTGCTGCCACGTCTGCGTCTGGCACCCGAACCCCAGACACGTGTGCTGAATGCTGCCACCCTGTCACCTCTATGCTCCCCACTCGGGTCCTCCTGCCCGGGCCACTTTGCCTCTGCCTCCCCCGACGATGCCCACTGGGCAGCCTGTGAGGGCCTGCTGCCGCCGTCATCCTGTCCACCAGCTTCCCCACCCACCTGCCAGCAACTTGAGGGCCTCAACCACCCTCACCCGGCTCAGGGCCCAGAATAGAACGGCTTCCAGCTCAGATGAGCTCAAAAATGCCTGGGATACAACAGGGTGAGAGAAACCCAAATCTTCCTAAAAGCAACTGTTTCCGGCAACATATTGACATAATCTCCAAGTGTCTCCCTAAAAGAAACTTGTTTTTATTCTTTCTTTCTTTTCTTTTCTTTTCTCTCTCTCTCTCTCTCTCTCTCTCTCTCTCTCTCTCTCTCTCTCTTTTCTTTCTTTTCTTTTCTTTCTTTCTTTCTTTCTTTCTTTCTTTCTTTCTTTCTTTCTTTCTTTCTTTCTTTCTTTCTTTCTTTCTTTCTTTCTTTCTTTCTTTCTTTTTGAGACGGACTCTCGCTGTTTCCCGGGCTGGAGTGCAATGGCGCCATCTCGGCTCACTGCAACCTCCGCCTCCCAGGTTCAAGTGATTCTCCTGCCTCAGCCTCCTGAGTAACTGAGATTACAGGCACCCACCATCACACCTGGCTAATTTTTGTATTTTTAGTAGAGACGGGGTTTCACCATGTCGGTCAGGCTGGTCTCGAACTCCTGACCTCATGATCTGCCTATCTCGGCCTCCCAAAGTGTTGGGATTACAGGCGTGAGCCATTGTACCTGGCTGAAACTTTTTTTTTTTTTTTTTTTAATGGAGTCTTGCTCTATCGTCTAGGCTGGAGTGTAGTGGAGTGATCTTGGCTCACTACAGCCTCTGCCTCCCTGGCTCAAGCAGTTATCCTATCTCAGCCTCCCGAGTAGCTGGGATTACAGGCGTGTGTGTGCCACCACACCCAGCTAATTTTTGTATTTTTAGTAGAGATGGGGGGGGGGGTCTCACTATGTTGCCCAAGCTGGTCTCGAACTTCTGACCTCAGGTGATCCACCCACCTCGGCCTCCCGAAGTGCTGGGATTACAGGCGTGAGCTTCTGCGCCCAGCCAAGAAACGTATTAATTGGGGAAAAAACCCAGCTTCACCTGAGGAGTCCTGGCAGACACGCCCTTAATCAAGTCAATATCCCCAGGACGCAGAGACTGAGCCACCGGGCAGAACGCAGGCAGAAGAACACAGCCTCACTCTGGGAAAAGGCACAGCCTCAATCAAACTGGACAAACAGCAGAAAAGCCCAAGCAGGCAGTCTACAAGTAACTAGCCTGCACCCCTCAAAAAGACAAGGACCTAGGCCTGCTCCAGACCCAGGAAGCCAAACACAATCATGAGAGCAATGTGCGGCCCTGGGCTGGGTTATGGACCAGAAAACAAGAACGTTATTGGGACAATCGGTGACATCTGAGTGTGGGCTGCGGAGTAGACAGCACCAGGACATCCATGTAAAATCCCTGATTTTGATCACTGAGCTGGGAGTACGCAAGAGAATATCCTTGTTCACATTTAGTGCTAAAGGGTTACAGTGTCTGCAACTTAGTCTTGAAACGCTCAAAAGTCATCATCATCTGTAGGAGTTTAGAGAGAATAATAAAGTAAGGCTATTAACGAAATGTGAATAGTGCATAACAATTTGGCATTTTTGCAACTTTCCTGTAAAGGTTTAAAGTTATTTCAAAATAAAAGTTTAAAGTTTAAAACATGCTTTGGATTAAAGGAAGGAAACCTGCAAAAGGCCACGGGAAACTTGACTGTCACGTGATCCTGTTTTGTCCACGCCAGGGCTTCTCACCCTGGGCACTATGGACATTCGGGTCAGAGAATTCTCTGCGGTGGGCCATCCTGTCCACTGCAACGTGTTTTGCAGCATCCCTGGACCCACCAGATGCTGGGTGCACCACCAACGTCTGCAGATATGGCCTGGGATCCCCGGGCGGGCAAACTCACCTTCAGGGAATGGATGGATGGCACTGAGTCCAGGCGGAGAGCCCTCTCCACAGCCTGCCTGGCCCTGTGCCCAACCTGCCTACGGTGAGGGGATGTGCAGACCAGTGGCTGGCCTGCAACCGGGACCATGTCTGCCTCGAGTGTCCCCAGGCAGACGTCATCCAGGATGTGGCAGTGCTGCGGTAGCTGCTGCAGACGTGTCTGCATCCGAATCCAGAAACTGTCTAGCCTCCTAAGGGTTTGCTGGACCCAAGAACGGGGTCTGCCAGGGATGGACAGAGGACCACAGCCTGCGCCAGGAGAGTGACTGTTCGCTGCACCCTGGAAGGGCTCATTCAAGCTGGACAGCACACACGTATCATTATGCCACATGGTCATGTGACTAATTTCACTGTCTCAGCGTCTACACAGAGTATGCCCTTCCCTTACTTCATTCTGAAGCCTAGATGGGAGTTGCCAGCTTGATTGGCAACCCGGGAAGAAAACCAAATTAATCCGGATTTTGTGTGTTTTTTTTTTTTCTTTTTTTTTTTAACGGTGGGGGGTCTAGGGGACAGAGTCTCTCTCTGTCGCCCAGGCTGGATTGCAGTGGCATGATCTCAGCTCACTGCAACCTCTGCCTCTCAGTTCAAACCGTTGTCCTGAATCAGCCTTCAGAGTAGCTGGGACTACAGACTTGCCATGCCCAGCTAATTTTTGTATTTTTAGTAGAGATGGGGTTATACAGTCTTGGGTAGTGGGAAATGCATTTAAAAATAAGCTTTACATTTTAAGAAGTGGTGAGAGGAAGTACTTAAAAATAAAAAATTCTGGGCCGGGAGTGGTGGCTCACACCTGTAATCCCAGCACTTTGGGAGGCCGAGGCGGGCAGATCACGAGGTCAGGAAATCGAGACATCCTGGCTAACACAGTGAAACCCCATCTCTACTAAAAATACAAAAAAATTAGCCAGGCGTGGTGGCGGCATCTGTAGTCCCAGCTACTCTGGAGGCTGAGGCAGGAGAATGGCGTGAACCCGGGAGGCAGAGCTTGCAGTGAGCCGAGATCGTGCCACTGCACTCCAGCCTGGGCGACAGAGTGAGATGCCGTCTCAATAAAATAATAAAATAAAAAATAAAAGATGGGAGAAAATAATCTGTGGCATGCATGAGAGAAAGTAGTTGATGTTCTTAGCATATAAAAGCCTTGTGAATCAAGAAGAAAGAGACCAACCCTACAGGAGATAAGAGCAGCCAGGGCTGTGAGGAGGCTGTTAGCAGAAAGCGAAAAAGAAAAAAGCAATGTAACATTTAAACAAAAATGCCTGCACTAGATATCGAGGAACACTGTGGAATCAGAGACTGTCCTTTGAATTCAGGTTCCATCAGATAATAGCTTGTGATGCTGTAGCTTGCACAGCTTCTTGAGCCACGATTTTCCAATGGGAATGCTGATTTGTCTCTGGGAGTTATTGTAACGCTCAAAGCAACAACATCTGGACACATCTGGACACAAAGAGCATCTGGACACATCTCATAATTTTCCTAATTTTCTCTATGTTCCAAAATTTCAGTAATGTCATATATTACTTTTTGGAGTATATATATATATATATATTTTAAATAAAACACCGGGCTCTGTGCATCTTGAGGACATCCGTGTCCACACTCCCGCTGCCCGCCTTACCTGGATGCTGTGGATGACGTCTTTAAACAATGGGGAACGCTGGGTCCACGTGCTCACCAGCCCCACGGCTCGGTCAAAGTTCTTAACGTACTCGCCGTACATCTTTAGGAATGGGGCCAGCTTCTGCAGGATGTCCCCGAGCCGTGGGTTTGTGTCCCTTCGTGGAGAAGTGAATCATCAGAGAAATAGCTGGGTGCAATGGGGGCTCCGAGGTTAGTGGACATGAACTCCACCAGGGGAGTGTGGGGTGGCGGCCAGCTCTGTGTGATGGTGAGCAAATTGGTCGCCCTCTCTGAGCTTTAGCTTCCTCCCCTATGTCATGTAGAGTAGAAAATAGTTAACAGGGCAATTAAATGAAAGGTGCCTGTAAAACAGTTGAAAGTGCAAGCTGCAAGCTTAGAACCAGTGCCCCAGACACAGGAGATAGCAGTAGTAGCAGAATCACCTGAACGATGAGCCACAGTTATCAAAGAGAACCAACAAAATACCATTATGCTCCTTTTAAATGGGCAAAGATTAGAAACAATGGTTCTATTCAATGCTGGCGAAGTCCTGGGGAAAGTAACTCTTTGCAGTACCGATAATGAAAAAAGCTGCTTTGGACAGGGATTTGCAAATAATTTTCAAGAAACAGAAACATATACTAATCGTCTTTGTCCTTAGGACTGTTTCAAAAAGAAAGAAAAAAGCCACCAGCACAAAGCCATCACTGAGGCGTGGCTGTGAACTGCACTCATACATTTAATTGAAAGATCCAAAGGGCAGGGTGGCTAAGTCATGGGACCCCTGTGCTGTTATAAAAGGAGCAGAGGAGGTCACACGTGCGCTCATGAGTTAGCAGTCTCCAGGGCCTTGCAGGAGAAAACCTGTCTCTACCAAGCATGGATTTTGTCAGCCAGAAGGCCGCATCCAGTCCTGACTGCCTTGGGGACACAATGTAACCTGCTCGGCAGCTGGACCATGTCCTTGTACAAATTTATGAATTGACATAGTCCCTCCCTGAGCAACAGGTGAAAAGACTCCCCCTGGCTTCCCATTCCAGCCAAGCCTCCGGGGTCTCCTGGGCTGCAGCTTGGAGAACAGGCTTGTGGGACACAGAAGGGCCTGGCTCCTGATGCAGAGGGAAGCCGGGCCTGCGAACGAGGCAGGCAGCAGAGACCCTAAGTCAAACAGCAGCGGCACCCAGAATGAGGGGAAAGGTAACACGCAACGTGGCGAACTGATGAGCCTGGGGGCCACGCCTGGGAAGTTTCATGAATTGTGACTTGCACTGAGCTGTCCCTCTGCTAATGAACAGAAGCATTAGTGGGACAGAGGGACAGGCCCCAGGGACAGCAGGAGGAGGATCTGATGTCCACTGTTGAGGGGGAAAAATAACATTTTTTAAACAAAGGTGGAGTGTAAGCTAGGAGGGAAAAGAAAACTAACTAGCACTATCCACTGTGTGGCGTTTCCAGATGTCAAACCTCATTTTAGTCTCAGAGCCCCGAGTGGGGCGTTAAAAGCCCTTCATTCCACATCATCTGCTTTCTCAGGAACTAAGCCTTGGAGACCGTAAGTGGCCGGTCAAGGTCACCAACCAGGAAAGGGTGGAGTCTGGACCGGACCCAGACCGTGCAGAGAAGGGAGGCGCCCAGCCACCATGGCACAGTCCCCCAGCACTTGCCTGGCTCTCAGGCACATGAACCCAGGTCTAGAGACCACTTGAGGGGCCCCACGGGCATCCGTAGACGGTACTCACCACTCCTCCGTGATCCGCGTCTTCAGCTCCGGCAGCAGGAACTGCCCGTGGAAGCGGTGGATGGAAGAGATGTTAGAGAATATGCCCGTGATGACTTCTGGGGGGATCCCCGCATCCGTCATCCTGGTGCAGAAAACCTGAGCATAGAGAAGCCCACGTGTGGCCAGTGAGCCTCTTCCGCTGAGCACAGCTGCGTCCCGCTTCGGCCACAGGTGAGGGCGCTCGGGAGGGGCCGCTGCTGCCACCTTGTGTTTTCTTAATGAACTTCAGAATTATTGTCCTCCCTTTTCATCGAACTGGTTCAGACAACCTCATGGTCTTAATGCAAGCTCACTTATGACTTAGGAATGTGGGTGCGGCAGGGACAGTCCCCTGAGGACAGGGAAGGACATCTTTCCTCAGCCACCTCTCACGCGAAATGGAAGGTTCAGACTTCCTTCTCTGTCTCGTCAGATAAAAACAGCAGCAGCACCGTCTGTCAAAACCCCGGCTTCCACGGGCGCTTTATTTTCTGAGCTCATAAACCCCACATTGTCATGTGGATAGGGATGAGTGGCAACCCCTGTCCCGACTATTTATGCAGAAAAACATCCAGAAGCCATTTACATGCTCAGATCATGCAGCTGCCAGGAAGAAATGTCCCACAGGTGACTTGGCAAAGCCTTTTCCTCAGAGTCATAAGCACTGAAAACAAAAAATAAGTTTCTAGGATGGGCGTGCTGGCTCACACCTGTAATCCAGCACTTTGGGAGGCCGAGGCTGGTGGATCACCTGAGGTCAGGAGTTCAAGACCAGCCTGACCAATGTGATGAAACCCCATCTCTACTATAAATACAAAAATTAGCCAGGCATAGTGGCATGTGCCTGTAGTCCCAGCTACTCGGGAGGCTGAGACAGGAGAATCACTTGAACCCAAGAGGCGGAGATTGCAATGAGCCAAGATCTCACCACTGAACTCCAGCCTGGGCGACAGAATGAGACTCTGTCTCAAAAGAAAAAAAAAAAGTTTGTAGACCAGACTTAAATTTGTCTGAGTTTTAGTATTTAAGTCATTCATACTGCACCTGTAATGCCCAGCCAATGCTAAGAGATACTGAAACTGCCAACTGAAACTCTGGGAGTGGACTAAGGTGGGCCCCCAAGCCATGTGGGCTACCTGGTCCAGCAGGTGCAGCCGCCTCACATAGGTCTCCTCGGTGTGCAGGAGCTCCTGGGCAATGTGGAGAAGCTTCTGCGGGCCAGAGTGCTGTGGAGAGAAGAGATGCAGCTCACCTGGGGAAGATGAGCCTTGGGGAATCGGTACCTAACAGGCTGCCACTGTGTGCAGGAGAACCAGGGGCCATGGGGGCGGCAGGAGGCCACAGGGGCAGGAGCGGGGACAGGAGGGGGCCACTGTGCTGGCGATGTCGTGCTCAGTTCTCATAGATGATATTCGCATGGAGGATTTTGGGAAAAGCACAGTAGTTTCTGGCAGCCCCCCAAAAGCCTCTCTAGCCCAAAGATAACTCCACCCTCCTGGGCCTTTGACTACAGAGCAGTTGCAGCAAGCACCTCAAAATATATTGGACAGTGAAATAAAATTAGCTACAAAGAAACAGAAAAATGTAGCCCAATCAAAGGAACAAAATAAAAAACTCCAAAACTGATCCTAAGGAAACACAGATCTATGAGCTGCTTGAGAAAAAAAACATCTAAATAGTTGTCATAAAGATGCTCAATGAGATAAAAGAGAACAGACAGATGACTAAAAAACAAAATCAGGAAATGATGCATGAACAAAGTGAGAATATCAACAAAGAGACAGAAACTATTAAAAAGGACAAACCAGACATTCTGGAGCTGAAATACACTTTAACTGAACCGATAAATTTTTAAGAGGGGTTTGATAGCAGACTTGATCAGGCAGAAGAAAAAGTCAGCAAACTCGAAGAGAGGTCATTTGAAATCAGAGAGTCAGATAAGAAAAAAAAAAAAGAAGAGCAAGGAGAGCCTAAGGGATGTACGGGCCACTATCAAGTAGATCAATATATGCACATGTAAGTTCCAAAGGAGAAGAGAGAGAAAGGGGCAAAGAGTTTATTTACAGAAATAATGGCTGAAAATTTCCCCAATTTGAGGAAAGCAATGGACTTAAAAATTCAAGAATCTCAAAGACCTCCAACTGGAGTAAATCAACAGAGAACCGTATCAAGACACTATATAACTGTCTAAAGTCAAATATACAAAGAAAATCTTGAAAGCAGTGAGACAAAAGTAATTTGTCTCATATAAGGGGTCTTCCATAAGATTATCAGAGGATTTGTCAGTGGTAACTTTGTAAACCAGAAGGTAGAGGGAGGATACATTCAAAGTGCTCAAAGGAAAAAAAACAACTGTCAACAAAGAATATTCTATTTGACAAAACTGTCCTTCAAAAATGGAGAAATAGGCTGGGCGCGGTGGCTCAAGCCTGTAATCCCAGCACTTTGGGAGGCCAAGACGGGCGGATCACGAGGTCAGGAGATCGAGACCATCCTGGCTAACACAGTGAAACCCCGTCTCTACTAAAAAATACAAAAAACTAGCCAGGCAAGGTGGCGGGCGCCTGTAGTCCCAGCTACTCAGGAGGCTGAGGCAGGAGAATGGCGGGAACCCGGGAGGCAGAGTTGTAGTGAGCAGAGATCCGGCCACTGCACTCCAGCCTGGGTGACAGAGTGAGACTCCGTCTCAAAAAAAAAAAAAAAAAAAAAAAAGGAGAAATAAACACTTTTCCAGTTAAACAAAAGCTGAGGGAGTTCTTTACCATTAAATCTGCTCTAAAATAAAAAAAGATTAGGGGGTCCTTTATGTTGAAACAAAAGGATGGTAAAAAGCAACATGAAACCACATGATAATATAAGGTTCTTAGTAAAGGTGAACACATGGATAAATACGATAATTTGTACTATTGTCCTTTTGGTGCATAGAATTTAAATTACAAAAACGTTTAAACATTTAAATCTATACGAATAAATAAAGATGAACTCATGATATCAATAACAGCAGGGAGAGGGAAGTGAAATTGTAAAAGAGTTTTTGCATGTGATTGAAGTTGTTATTAGTTTAAAATAGAATGCTATGACTTTAAAATGTTTTACGTAATTGCAATGGTAACTACAAATAAAATATAGATTAAAAAGGAAATGAGAAGGAAATAAAACCATATCACTACAAAAAAATCAATGAAACACAAAGAAAGGCAGTAAGAGAGTAAAGGAGGGACACAAAAAACCTATAAGACATACAGAAAACAACCAAATGGCAGTAGTAGGTCCTTTCCTATCAGTAACTACTTTAAATGTAAATGGATTAAACTTGCCAATCAAAAGACATATTGGCGGCTGGGCATGGTGGCTCACGCCTGTAATCCCAGCACTTTGGAAGGCCAAGGTGGGGGGATCATGTGGTCAGGAGTTTGAGAACAGCCCGACCAACATGGTAAAACTCCGTCTCTACTAAAAATACAAAAATTAGCCGGGCATGGTGGCACGCACCTGTAATCCCAGCTACTCAGGGGGCTGAGGCAGGAGAATCACTGGAACCCAGGAGGCAGAGGTTACAGTGAGCTGAGATTGTGCCACTGCACTCCAGCCTGGGCAATAGAGCAAGACTCCATCTCAAAAAAAAAAAAAAAAAAAAAAAAACATAGTGGCTGAATGGATTAAAAATAACAGCCTCCAACTATATGCTGTTGACAAGAGACTCTCTTTAGATATAAGGACACACACAGACTTAAAGTGACAGGATGGAAAAAGATATTTCATTCAAATGGTAACCAAAAGAGAGCAGGAGTGGCCATACTTAGATAAAATAGACTTTACAGCAAAAACTGTTACAAGGCTGGATGCAATGGTGTACACCTATAGTCCCACCTACTCAGGAGGTTGAGGTGGGTCACTTAAGCCAACAAGTTTGAGGCTATCCTGGGCAACATAGTGAGACCTTGTACCAAAAAAAGAAGGAGGGTGACAGCAGTAAGATGGCTGAGTAGAAACACCTGGCATTCCCCTTATCCCAGGAAAAGACTAAGGCACAAAAAACTAAGATTTGGCTGGCGCTGGAGTGAGTGGTGGAGTAGAGATGCACCTGTGATGACTGGGAGAACAGTGTGGAGGCACCCAGCCTCTAGTGGTCCCATCTCCCTCCAACCAGATAGCATCTATCCAGAGTCAAGAGGGACATTCCTTTGCAGGGAAAAAGTACAACACGAGAGAATCCCACATTCCTTGCAAGCCCCAAGCCCAGTTTGGAGAGCTGTGAGAATTCACACAGCTACATTGCCCAGATTAGGATCACAAAGTATACACATCCCACCCCCAGAAGCACCCACTGTGAAGCAGGCTGCTGTGGCATGGCACCATCCTAAGACCAGAGCCACCTCCAGAGTGCTCCAGGCAGTAGCTACTGTACCTCTCCAGCACTGGGGCTCCATCTCCATTCCACAAAGACCACATGAGTGGTTGAATGCCACAGCCCCAGCTGCATAGAGCTTGGGCCCAGGATCAGCTGTGACTCTGTTCCTGCACAGCAGGGAAACCAACCCTCACTGCCACGCTTTCAGCTAAAAGAACAATCTGCCATTCCAACCCAGGAGGAGCTCAAGCAATCCTCCCAGCTATTCTTCAGAAAGGAAGGAGGAATAAAATCTTTAACCGACAAGCAAAAACTAAGGGAATTCATCACCACTAGACCAGTCTTATAAGAAATGCTCAAGACAGTCTTATATCTGGAAGTGAAAAGACAATAAACACCATCGTGAGAACATGTAAAACTATAAAACTCACTGATAAAGCTGATACACAAAGGAGGAAAGAAATGAATCAAACCTTATCACTGCAGAAAACCACTCAACTACAAAAATAAATAATGAGAGGAGGTAAGTAACAAAAGATATACAAAACCACCAGAATGCAATCAATAAAATGACAGGAGTTAAGTTCTCACCAATCAATAATAATCTTGAATGTAAACAGATTAAATTCCTCCATTTAAAAGATAAACTAGCTGAATGGATCAAAAAACCAAGACCCAACTATATGCTGTCTACAAGAAACTCCCCTTACCTGTAAAGATACACATAAACTGAAAGTCAAGGGTGAAAAGACATAGTCGATGTAAACCAAAACCCAAAACAAGCAGGAGTAGCTATACTTATATCAGATGAAGAAGACTTCAAGTCAAAAACTATAAAAATAAACGAAGAAAGACATTACACAATAAAGGGATTAATTCAGGAGGAGAATATAATTATAAATATATATGCACTGAATACTAGAGCACCTAGATATAGAAAGCAAATATTATTAGATATAAAGGGAAAGATAGATCTCCAACACAATAATGGTTAGAGACTTCAACACCCCATTCGCAGTATTAGATAGATCATCTAGACAGCAAATCAAAGACACATCAGATTTAAACTACACCATAGAACAAATGGACCAAACAGACACTTACAGAACATTTCACCCAACAACTGCAGAATACACATTTTTCTCATGAACACATGGAACATTCTCCAGGACTGACAATATATTAGGACACAAAACAAGCCTCAAAATTTTTTTAAATCAAAATTATATTAGGTATCTTATCTTACCACAATGGAATAAAACCAGACATCAATAACAAGAGAAACATTCAAAGCTATATCAATATACGGAAATTAAATAACATGCTCCTGAATGACCAATGGATGAAGGAAGAAATTAAGAATGAAATTTAAGGGCCAGGCAGCCCTTACAATGGCTCACACCTGTAATCTCAGCACTGTGGGAGGCCAAGGCTGGCATACTACTTGAGCCTAGGAGTTTGAGACCAGCCTGGGCAATATGGGGAAACCCCATCTCTACAAAAAATATAAAAATTAGCTGGGTGTGGTGGTGGGTGCCTGCAGTCCCAGCTCCTCGGGAGGCTGAGGCAGGAGAATAGTTTGAGATAGGGAGGCAGAGGTTGTGGTGAGCCAAGATTGCATCACTGCACTCCAGCATGGGTGACAGGGTGAGACTCTGTCTCAGAAACAAACAAATCTCCAAACAGAAAAAGTCCAGGACCCAATGGGTTCACCACTGAATTCTACTGAACCTATAAAGAACAATTTATACCAATTATCAAACTATTCCAAAAAATTGAAGCAGAGGAAATTCTTCCTAACTCATTTTATAAGGTCATCAAAACCTTGATACGAAAACCAGGAAAAGACACAACTAAAAAGACAACTACAGGCCA